AAAGTGGCAGACCTTTGAGGAAGGGAGACAAAGTGTGCGGGTGCAAAAACGTCACATGCCGTAGTTCACCAACTTAAAATAAATCAGAGTTTTGCTTTGTTTGGTTTTGTTTTTCAAGTGCCAGGGAAATGCGCTTCCCAAAGGGTGGCTTTCGAGTTTACGGGCACCAAGGTGGAAGTACGAAGTGAAGACATGCCAAAAATCGTCAGGTTTTTGTAAACCCTTCTTGAAAAAGTGCATGTGTTTTTAGTAAAAATGCATATCTACCAAATCTCCACTGACCACGGGCCACTTGCGTACGGAAAGTCTCAACAATTTGCAGCATCACTGCTGTCATTTTTGCCTTCTTCCACCCACCTCCCCAATTTTTTTTCCTTGGGAGACATACAGCACCACTGCATTAGAACGTACAAGAAATGAAAACAGTGAGTACGACTGATATAGATCCATTGACTTTTTATTACAAATGTACTTGATCACTTGGCTTCAAAAAAGTTTAAATCAACCCCTATTTTCTGTACGCCAGTACAAAGTAAAATCTATTTTACAAATTAAATACCTAAAAATTTGACAAAAATATTAAAGTTTGATGGAAAAAACAGTTATAAAAATCTTAAATCCCCTTTTAAGAAGGTAAGAGATAACATCCCCTCCCAACCCCACAGTCCTGTTATACAATATTAATAGTCGTTTTTTTTTTTTAGAATAGGTAGGTATATCTCACTGTTAGCATACAAGTCACTCTAATAGCTTTATCTGTATATACTCCAGTTAGTGCATGAATGCCATCTGATTGAATATAATCAACTATCTTTAACTGATCCCTAATTTACATTTCATAGCTTGCATAGTTTGAAGGGACAAAGGTTACACTACAGCTAATCATAAAAAAAGGTGGTTACAGTGCTATTTTTAAAGGCAACAAAGTAATTGCTCCCCTCTCCCCCCCGCAAAAAAAAAAAAAAGAAGTTATCGGTCAGCTCTGAGCAGGGGTTAAAATCCCTGGCAGGTTTCTGCCCCGCGGGACCAGGGGGTCTCTGCCCCAGCAGCCCCTCTGCGCCTCCCCGTTACGGGCGGTGAAACCGCTCCCCGGCCAGCACGGCACCAAGCGCGTTATTTCAACCCCTGCAAGGGATACGCAAGAAAGTGACACTGTCAAGTATTTTTTTGTTTCCTTTTTCCTTTTTTTTTTAAATTGAATTTTTCAAAAGAAAAAGAAGTCTCCCTGTTGCATATGGGTACGCTCGGTGAGAAGCTGAGTGAGCAGCCTGTCAGCAGCCAAAAGCAGAGTTTCTGGCCAGTGGCCCCAGTGGCCCGCAGGCTCTGTCTGGCTGAAGCCCTGACCCCCCCTGGCACCACCGACGCCAGGACGCTCGACCAGTCTCTCCTGCTACTGGCGGGGGGCGGGGGGGGGGGTGCTTCAGCATTTCCAGCCGGGCCACAAAGAAGCGGTGGGAATCAACAGCGGATCATTCTGTTTCTTTTTTTCCTTTTTTATTTAACTTCTCAGAGACAGAGCGATTTTACTTTGTTGTTGTTTTTTTTTTTTTTTTTAGGCAAACCAATAAGGACTTTGAATTTGGATTTGAATTTCCATTAGCGTAAAACCACTTAAAGGGCAGCTGTATTTCCATAGTAAATTACTTGACAGTGTCCCTTTAACTTAAATAAAATAATGTCAGTATTGCAATGAATTTCAAGTTTTCTTGCACATAGTCATTATAAAGTAGTTTTTATCATGCTCTTGGACCTATTCTACAAGACATTTAAAAGCATATCATCAAGGAAAATGTAAGGCATACTTCTCAGGAATTAGGTATCTTGGCACATTTGAGCATGCTGTCTTTTTTTTAAAACAACACATATGGTCAAATATACCTTTCTTCTTCTAACATTAAACAGGGTTTTCTGTACTTTGTTTCAAATACTGAGATATTAGAGCCTTGGTAAAGTACCGAGCACCTCTGGAAAAAAAAATATGTAAAAAAAAGAAAAAAAATAAATCAAAACAAAACCAGAAGCAAAATCCCATGAACCTTTACAGTCATTTTAGTCTTTCATTATCATCATTCATAAAGTCCTAGAACATACATAACGTGCGTTAAAAGAAGAAAAAAAACCAAAACAAACAACCCAAGAAAAACCAATGAAACACGCAGAAGAAACCCAAAACGAGACAAAAACTGACCACAAGTTCTCGGACACTGTTCACAAGACTGCCAGCGGGCTGTTACAGGCTGTACTGGTTTGACTGGAACCACGCGGCCTGTGCGCTTCTCCCGTCAGCCGGATCCCGGGCAGGATCCAGGCGGCGCGCGGGTGAGGAAGACCTCGGGGAGCTGCCTGCACAGCTGGTTGTGCTCCCTGGAGCCGGGAGGGAAGGAAGGGAAGGACGCTGCCGGGCTCTCACAGCCTCCCGCCACTTACTGCGGGGAACACGACGCGGCAGCCTGGAACTAAGAGCACCGGGACCGCATCTGTCGGCAGCGCGACAACTTTGGGGAGGGCGGTGAACAGCAGGACCGAGACAATCAATCAAGTAGCAAAAAACCCCAAAGCGATTAATTTCCTCATTATGGCTAGCAGCATGGAGAATGCAGTCCCGTACACGTCACAGTTGAAGTACAATAATCTATGGAACTGCCCATCCAGACCCTCCGATTCCAAAGCAGGTTATCAGACAAAAGTTTACATGCAATTGAGAACCATTTCACATGTCACATTATGGACTCCGAAAGCTTATTTTACTACTGGGAAATAGGAAAGTGCACATTAAAGCAATTTTAAACATTTCCAGTGATTGTTTAAAAGGAACAGAAACACCTCGCTACCAGCATCTCGTATTTAACTTTCTGCAAACACTAACAGCAAACTTCTTTAAAGGGAAATAATGCATCGTACAATGGAAACAGCTTGTTTCGACACTTACAGTACATCTCAAAAAAAAAAACAAAAAAGAAGAAAAAGGGAATTATAACTTCAAATGGAAATGAAAAGACAGCAGGAAATTAAAGACTCCTTAAAACAAGCTGCTTTTTTTTTTTTTTCTCCCCACCCTTCCAAAACTCCATCCTTGACCATCAGGAAAGAAGCGCAGGCAGCTCCTGCTGGTACAGGTGGTGCCTTCTGTACCCAGCAGCTAGGTCTACCAGACGGCTAACTTTGCCAAGAGTGTTAAGAAAAGGATGGCATCCCCAAAATACCAACATCCGAGTGGAACAAGGTCCTAGTTTCTCTGAAATGCTGTCTACTGAATTCTGGCCAAGAAAAGAAAAGAAAAAAAAAAGTTTTGTTTTCACTGTTTAAGGCATCTTTTTTTTTTTTATAACGTTTTCTCTTCACTCGTCATGATGATAGTCATGCAGCAGTTTAATGATAAAAATATATTAATATTTTACTGTACAGCAGCAAAAAGTTAGTCAATTAAAAGCACACCAAATCTTTAAAAGAAAAATAACCAAAAACCAAACCAACAAAAACAACCTGTAAAAGCCTATTATTATTACTATTATTATTATTACAGACAATTTCAATTTGGAGAACACACCTGGACAGGTTAGTGTTCCGACAAATCTGCGTTTCCCTACCCTAGGCTTTGAGCAGAGCTTGCGAGCGCGCACACGCGCGCACCGGCAAGGAGGCTAGGACAGGGAGGGACGGGCACGGCTCGGCTTGCCAGGTATGTAGCCAGTAATAACTAGCACCGCAGCTACATGGAAATCCGTTACAGACACACACCGTCTTGGCTTTTCGCTTCACACCAAAACGCCGAACACCATGGCTCAGTAGGATTACTCGGCAATTGCGTCGCACCGATTTCTAACAGGCCTACAGAAGTTAACGGCACTGGCAGGGATCAAAGCGTAGGCTGGGACCTCTCACCAGTTGAGGAGATAGTGCTAGCGCCAGTGGCAACACGGAAACTACCTGCTGTCCAAAACCAGGTTGACTGGAAACCGCTGCACGTCATGTTAAGTACTTTCAGTACACAGAATAAAAAAAAAAATATTATGAACAATACAAGTACATCTCATATACACAATAATGACAATATGCCTACTCAGCTGTAAACCAAACAGGTGCAGAAAAAATATTACGGGAGGAAGTTCTTTACTTTTTGTTTTTTCTCTCTCTCTCTTTTTTTTTTTCTTTTCCTCTTTTCTTTTTTTTTTTTTACTATTTGAATAACTTTGGTTCAAACGTAAAAATCACAAGTTAGCAAATTTCATTTAAATGCCTTTTTTAATAATTTTTCTTCATGTTCACAGAAGTTTCACTGACCATTTTTATATGTTTAAGGTCCAGATGCAATGCATATTGTATAAAAGAGAGCACTTATTGTTTACCTTGCATGAATTAAACCTACGTACCTTTTAACTCTACAAACTTCTGCATAACATTTAGACAAAGCTCAGACACACAGCATGCCTAGCCCTCATATATATATACACATCTCTAATCACAGGTATATAGGGTGTCAAATATACTATAGTAACCTCCATGTAAGGTTTGAAATTTGGTAACAAAATGAGAAGAAAAAACTAAAAATATTATTTTACGTGTTCTAAAATATCTCTTTTTCTTTTTTTTGTGCTAAAGTCAAATGTTAGCTCAACATGAAAAGGACTTTTTTTTTATATAATTCAGCAATATTATAATCTTGACCATTTTTGCAAACACTTTTAATAATAATAGCTTAAACGTGTACAAAAGTTCTCGGTTAATTAGGGAAATAAACACTCAGTTCTTTATATTTTTAATCAAGTAGGAAACACAGTTCATATATAATGTTATTACTTTTTTTTTTACTTTTTTTGTGTGTTTTGTTGTTTTTTTGTTTTGTTTTGTTTTGTTTTTGTTTTGTTTTGTTTTTAGCAGCTGCTTACTGTTTGATACGGTGGGTAAAGTGGAGGAACATCCAGCGATGGGTGGCGGGTCGCAGGCGCTGCTGCCGGGCGGCGGGGGGGGCTCCGGGGCGGGCGGCGCTGCCGGGGCGGG